GGTACTCCCTTCTTCCACTGAGGCCCCTGGGCTTAGGTCAGTATTTGTACCTTCGTGTGGGTGACAGAAAATCTCATGCCCTGCAAGAGGCATCAGACCAGTCTGCCTTGGTTCCCTACTGATGATTTGGGCTGGGACAGAGCTGGTTTTGTTCACAGTATCCTGTATGGGGCTGGTTTGGATTTGTGTTGGAATCAGTTGATAGATCATGGATGGTTTTGTTATTGTTGGGCAAGGCTTACACAAGGTCAAGGCCTCCTGTGCTCCCTGTGCCACCACACCAGCGAGGAGGCCAGGGGTGCAAGGGGACACAGCCAGGACAGCTGACCCCAACTGACCCAAGGGATGTCCCAGACCATATGGGGTCATGACTGGCATGTAAAACTGGGGGAAGGAAGGGGGGGATGTTTTGAGTGATGGTGTTTGTCTTCCCAAGTCACTGTCACATTTGACAGAGCCCTGCTGTCCTGGGCATGGCTGAACACCCGACTGCCCATGGGAAGTGGGGAATGAATTCCTTGGGTTTTGTGCACCATTTCTGCTTTACAATTGAACTGTCTTTATGTCAACCCATGACTTACCTCAGTTTTACTCTTGTGACTGTCCCTGATCCTGTCAGGGGAGGTGAGGGAGTGGCTGTGTGGGGCTGAGTCCCCGGCTGGGATTAAACCCCGACACTGGGGCAATGAATGGAGAGCAGGAGGAGCCTGGAGAGGCACTGGGAGCAGGGAGCAGCTCCTTTAGACACTGCTCAGCCTGCAGGGGAGAATGTCTCTACTGGCTGTGTAGGGAGCCTTGCAGGTGTAAGTAACAAATTGGGAACCTAAGGTTAGATCCTCTGAGGGAAGGAATGAATATCACCTTTTTCCAAGCCTGTTATAGCCTCACATATTTTATAATTCTGGTCATTGTTCACACCTTAAGAATCTCACATACAAACAAAAAAAAAATCTAATGTTAATGCCAGGGAAAGTTAAATCACTTCAACAGTAAGGACAATATAGGATAAAAGATGAGTGTGGGGAGGATGAGAGAAAGAGAGCAAATGAAGAGGAGCAGGAATGGGTTAGTGACAAAAGGGCTTTGGTGGATCACCTGGTTCACAAGCAGAAGGGAAAATAAGAAGCAGCCATGACACGGAGCAGTGCTGCCACACAGTGTCTGGGAAGCAGCTGTGAGCAGTAACTGCAAGCATTGCAGCAGAAGTGACTCTGGGAGCTTTAGGTTTCGTGCCAAGAGCAAACACTGGACTGTTTGCTGAAGGAATGCAAAGTGCAGAGGCAGGAGGCAGCAGCAGTGCCAGGGAAGGACCTGATCTGAGCCTGACTGATGAGTCTGGTTCACAAGCTGCTGCAAATTCTCCATGACAGTCATTAAGTTAAAACTGGATTTAAATCCTTTCTTTTAGCAGAATAATAATAATTTTTTTTAATATAACTTTCTCTTAAAGTACATGCTAAAATTTCTGATAGTCTCCTATACATTAATCCTGTAACTAATTTTTAATTATTACTTCATAATTAGTAATTAGAGCCTCTATAAAGGGAAGGCTGATATACAAATCACCTTTCCCAGACTCTTCAAAGAAAAAAACCCAGGGCTAGGACTCAAAGGAGGTTTGCTAGCAGGGTCAAGGGAATTTGAGGTGTGGACAGAATAAAAGGGTTTCATGCCCTTAGAAAATCCCAGCACAATTAAGTATTTTCCTAAAGTTTCTGTGATATTTCTATCCTAACAGCAATACAGAAAACACAAATGGTCTAAGGACACCATAAAATAATACAGAGACAGCACCCATCCTGTGCTGCTGGGACTCAGCTCAGAGTCCTTGCTAAATGGAAACAAAAATGCAAAATCTTTTTTCATCTTTTCTTTAGTCAGTCCTGGAGGGTTCCACATCAGAGAAACCATGATGCACTAGTCTATCTCTTTGGTAGGAGAATTTACAAAGCAGGGAAATAAATTATTTTCCTTGGCCTGGGTGCAAGAACAGGACCCTGCTCTCCCTGTTATCCTGGAACTACTACACACCTGAGCAGAATTAAGCAGTCTTTGAGTTCTTAAGGTGCCAAACTCCTCTGGATCCCAGCGGGGTTTGAATGCCTTCAGCAGTGTTGAAAATCAGGTCACAAGATCCTCTGGGAATGCCAACAATTTGACAAGAAATCATTTGCATGAAAATCTGCTAAGGAAATGTCTGCCTCATGTTCCATAAAATAGTCCCAAGTTTTCACCATTGCATTCCAATTAATAGAAATGTCTTTTTGGATAAATTTACTAATTTACATATGTGGATGTATTTTACATTTCAGCTGCATCCCAACAAGGTCTGCCTTTGCCCTGGGTGGGCCTGCTGTTTATAGCAGCAGGTGCTCCTGCGAGATTCACATCCCATCTGGGCTTGCTGAAAGAGCCAAATAAACACCTGAGCTTCATGAAGGAAGGGATCCTGTGTCTTTATTGTCCATGCAAGCTCTCTAGAAACATCACAATGGAGAGCACAGAGGGCTTTACAGCAGCTAAGCACACTTGAATCTCAAAACATCTTTTCCTGCACAGTGTGATACCCTGATAGTTTCTGGAATGATCTAAGGATGAAGTCATGTCATGTCCTTTGTAATCTCCCTTTTTATTTTTTTATGAGGATCTATACAGCTAAAGGTTGGGAAAGCCCTGTCTGGTACTTTCATCCTGGCTTCTGGCTGTCTCCAGTTGAAACTGTGAGCTCAGCCATAACCACAATGCTGCTGGCAAGTGCTAAGAAAAGGAAATCTGCCTGAAATCAGAAAGTTTTTTCAGTACTTTCTCAGAGAAAGTACTTTCTCCCCTAAATGCACTGGGGAAAATGCAGCCAAAAAACAATCTGTAATGGGGGTGGGTGTGAAAGGAAACATGAGCTTGTCAATCAAAGTTAAAAAGAACTGAATTTCCAGAGAGCTGGAAACACTATATAAAAAATAAGCTTTTTGGAGAAGACCACAAAAACACTCTTTCCTTGGAAATGGACAGAAAAGGGAAAAGCAGATGGAGAAAGAGAAGGAACTGGAAGAAAAAATATCAGGTGGTATTCACAAATTTGAAAGAGTCAGTGGTCAGACTTTCAGGGGATTGGGAACTCCTCCCAGAGCAGCACACACATTGTGTTCTCAGTGTGCTCCCTTGGCAAACCAAGCAGGGACTTTAAAACTGCTGAGAGCTATATAAGATGATCTAATTTGCTTCCAAATGGGAATTTGTAATTATTTTTTTCCTGTAAATTCCTACTGCATATTAAAAGTAAATTTTGGAAGAACTCTTCAGTGAATGACCATGAGGTACAAACAACCATGAGAAAAAGAAAACGGTCATATGGGGAAAGCCCAGAGCAGAATTAGCACTCAGGTCTTACAGTGACCTTCAAAATGTAAAATGTAAATAAATATACTGAAAAATGTAAATAAATATAGATAAACCTACTGTGCCTCTTATTGCAGAGTCACAAAGCCCAGGAATCTGAGGGGTCATTATTTTAGGGAACATAAAATCAGTAAGCAGAAAGTGCATCCCCACACCAAGCTGTTAATATCTGTGTAAGTAAATATATTGCTAAACACAAAATTCAAATGGTTCTTTTATGAGGCTGATGCTCACAACTGAGAAGCCTCAATTGCCACTACAGTCCAAAAAGCTGCAGGGGTTCAACACACACTGGCAAAAACTGGAGACACATCTGGGAACCCACAAGTACTTTGCAACAACTCACAAGAACAGGGAGATCAGGAAGCAGGAGCACAGATTTACATTTACAAGGAGCACATGCTGCACATAAATCTATTCCATTTTAGGGTACCTGTATCATGTGCAAAAAGGCTGCTTGGTCTTTTGGTAACATCTCCAGCCAGATGATATTGTTCCCCATCTGCCTCAGCCACACGGCTGCCTCTCTTTTAGCTTGACTTCTGGATCACAGGTGACCAGAAGCATAAGCAATATTCAAGAAGAGCTGTGAATGTACCTGTAAGTACCTGAAATACTCTGAATTTTAAAATTACATTTGAAATTTAAAATCACCAAACCACTTCTTAAAATCAAATTTGCCTTTTTTTTCTTCTTGAATGCATCATATGGACTACAGACTGACTCTGTAAAACCTATTAGAACACACAAGGCATTTCCCATTACAATTTCTAGATGATGAATTCCCAGTGAATAAATTATGATCTTCTTAGCTCTCACATAACCCTACAGAACTGAATGTCATGTCATGCCAGTTACTCTGGGCCTCAAAGCAATGTCATTTTCTCTGCATGACACTGCTGTTCTCTCTCTCATGACAGATCCACCCCAGTGCCACTGACAAGTTCACTCAGCACAGTCCTAATCTCCAACCCACAGTCTCAAATGCAGGTGCTCAGTGGAATCTGAAAAAATTATCCCATTTTTGAGCGCTCTCCAACATCCCAGCTACTCATTAATGACACCACTGCCCACCCCTGCCTTCCAGGGCAGGAAGGATCGAGGGAGGCTCTGTGTGGATGGTCTGTTCTAGGAATGATGTGTCCATGGACACTGGTGAGCCACACCTCGAGTGCTGTGCCCAGTTCTGGCCCCTCAGCTCAGGAAGGGCACTGAGGTGCTGGGGAGTGCCCAGAGAAGGGCAATGGAGCTGGGGCAGGGGCTGGAGCACAAGGCTGAGGAGGAGCAGCTGAGGGAGCTCAGCCTGGGGAAAAGGAGGCTCAGGGGGGACCTTTTCACTCTCTAGGACTCCCTGAATGGGGGTGCAGGCAGGTGGGGGTCAGGCTCATCTTCCAGGCAACCAGCGACAGGACGAAGGGATATGATCGTAACTGTGACAGGAGAGGCTTGGGTTGCACATTGGGAAGAATTTCTTCATAGAAAGAGTGACTGGACATTGGGGCGGCCCGGGGAGCTGGAGTCACTGTCCCTGGGGCTGTATAAGGAAACCTGGCCGGGGCACTCAGTGTCATGGTCTGGTTGACAATGTCTGTTTGGTCATAGGTCGGACGCGATGGCATCAGCGGTCTTTTCCAACCCAGCAGATTCTGTGACCCGGTGCCCCGGCAGCAGCACCCGGCCGGGCTCGGGCTGGGGCCGCGCTGCCAGCCCCGGTGCCGCGGAGCTCCGCCCGCTCAGCCCGCTCCGCCCCTGCCCGGCCCGGCCGGCCCGACCCCGCAGCGATGGCGGCCCGGCTGTGCCGGCTGCGGAGGCCCCTCACGGCCGCCTTCAGCAGCGCCGCGGCCGCGGGGGCCGGGCAGGCCCCGCCGGCGGAGCCGCTGACGGAGCTGCGGCAGGCGGGGGGCGTGCGGTGAGCGGGGGCTCCAGGGGCTCCGGGACGCGGCCGCGTTCGGAGCTCGGTGAGCGTAACCCCGCCGTGTTTCACGGCTTTTGCAGCACCATCGTCCTGAACAACCCGCGACGGCGGAACGCGCTGTCGCTGCCCATGCTGCAGAGCCTGCGGCGGGACCTCCTGCACGACGTCAAGAGCCGGGAGCTGCGCGTCATCGTCATCGCGGGTACCGCGGCACCGGCCGGGCAGGGACACAGCGGAGCCGAAACCCAAACCTCGCTGGGAATAACGGGAAACGGGGCGGGAAGGGACCTGTGTGCTTCCCTAAGGCTCCCGCTGCTGTCAGTGCCCGGCAGGCCTCCCTGTCACGCTCTTCCTCTGTACTCACCCCAGCTTCCCCTTTCCTGTACTTAATTCCTCATTCCTAACTCAGCACTAACGACCCAATGGGGTTTTGTTACGCTTTTGGTTTTAGCCAACATGTCTAAGCATTAACACGCTTCGAAATGTTAGCACTGAATTCAGTCGGGGTATGGCATCCTAGGGTCAGGGTTAATTTTTTTTTAAGATTGTATGGAAGGAATACTTTAAACAGAACAAAAGCCAAACGAAAAAAAAAGTTCTAAGAGTTACCAAAGCATTAACATCCCCACACAGGGGTTTTGTGCAGGAACAGGCAAAGGTAGGATGGCGCTTGTTGCCCTGTTGACAGGTACAGACTGTAGTGAAAAACAACGTTTCTGCAAATCAAGTGCTCTGCTTCCCTGCTCTGAGCCAGGATCAGCCCCATCATTTGGTTTGTCAGAACTATTTTTAAAAACACTCCAGTGAGGAGAGACTGCAATATCAATACCACAGACACCTGTGACCCACAGATGTAAAACAGCCTCTCCCAGAGCCTGTTACAGTTTCCTTCCATTTACATATTAAGCTGTAGAGTTCTTAAAGATAATGAAACTTGAGATATACTTAGGCTATCTTTTTTTTCCTCTTGCTATTTTAAGATAACCTTCCCTTTCCCCCCTTCCAAACATCTCAGATAAATTGTTTTATTAATTTAGGATCATGCTGTTTCCTATACATAGAGGAAAACTCTGTATTAGGGCACACACACAAGAGTAGAAGAGAGCTGATTTCACAGGGGTGAGTTTAAATATACATATTCCTCATTTCAAACAGCAGTTAGAAATTTTGCAAAACACTGAAGGCTCTTCTTTGGGAGTACAGTGCTCTGGGAGTTTGTGAGCACAACTGATTTTAGTTTTTTAGAAATTGCACATTCCTGTTTATTTCTAATTCCCCTGCAGAATAAAACACAAAAGAAGAAATTGCAAGAAAATAAAAGATTGCTCAGAGAATTCTTTGGGCCTTTAACACAGACTTTGCAGTGGATTCTTCAATGAGGCTCAAATTAATGTAATTCATCTCCAGATATATTTTGCCAACCCCATGAGCTGACTGACAATTGTCTGGTTATTTCTAGATAGATTGTGTCCCAGTAATCTGGTTCTTAAGAAACAAATCCGTTGGTAAGGTTTGATCTGCATAGGTGTAGCTGGAAATATCACATCCATACAAATATCTGAGAAGTTCTGAAGGATTGGAAAACATCACATTGGTTCGTTCTATGGCAGGTACTGACATGGCCAAGGAAAACTGTTGTAAAGATTGTGTGTCTGTATAGAGTGTTTTGATCTTAGTAAACCCAAAGTTTAGTTCCAAATAAATCTCCTCTTTTGCTGTCCAAACCCTAAATATGCTTTTGGGGGTTCTCTAGATGACAGTTTAGTAGTGGAGAAAACACTCCAACAACCTTCTGGTTCTCCTGTTGCAGAATAACCTTTTTTCTTTCTTTTTCCATTGTGACCTTCAGCACCGTGACAGAAAAAAATACTGATGCTTACTTAGCAAAAGTTAATAATTAATTCTGGGTACAATAAATAGAGACTAAGTATATTTATCAGTCTGAGAGCAGAGCACTCCAGCCTTGCTCCAGCTGACAAGCTTGTGTTGTACTGAGGAGCTGTTTTGAACATCCTTACACAAAACTGGGCTCAGAGGTGAAGTGCATTCTTTCTGAGTTAAGTGTAATGGAAGTAAAATGAGACCTTGAAAAGTGGCAATGGCTGTTACTGTGCTCAAATGTTACACTGCAGCAATTTAAAGTTACCATAAAACCCAGAAGGAAATATTTTGGAATTCTGTTCAAAACTCCCTCCCCAAACTCCTTTTTGAACATTGATATGTCATTGACATCCCTTTAGCTGGGACATTGATATGCTCAACCCCTGATTTCTTTATTACTTCAGACTGACTTTTCCTGAAATTCTTTGCAGCTAAAGGACCTGTATTTTGTTCTGGCCATGATTTAAAGGAACTGTCAAGTGAAGATGATGTGAAGCATCATTCCCAAGTATTTGAACTATGTGCAGAGGTAAGCAGTTCTTCTTGAGTGTCTCTGCCATTGCCTGCTGTTAAGAGCAAGCATTGGTTTAAGGAGGGACAGCATTGGTCATCTGCTTGCTAAAGTACAGATTATTCCTTCAGATTCCTTGATTTTTGCTGCTCTGCTATTTGAATGCCTGATCCTGGTGAAATTATGTTTGTTCTGGATTTCTCTACATGTACATAGAAGGGCTAGAATGGCAATGTGCATGTCTCCAACAATGGGCACAGTCAGAGTGTGTTCCTTGGTTTAGGCAGTGTTCCTTGCAGCTGAGTATTTGGGCAAATATGTCTTTTCTAGAAGTCTAGGGATAACCACTTTCACATCACTTGTGATCAAATGTTCTTTCCCAGCATTTATTTAGTTAAAAGTTCAGGATCAGCTTAAACAACTAGTAGACAATCTGAAAGTAAGATGTGACTCACTGGTTGTCCAAGTTTTTGTTAAAGAGCAGGTCAGGGAGGTGGGAAAGTTAAAGTGAATCCTGGAGCCTTTGGAGAGAATGGCAAAATCCCCTTTGATAGTGGTGGAGCTAGAATTTGACCCCTAATCCTCCTCAGTGTGACAACAGTGAGTACTTGGAAATCTTTTGTTCTAGTTGCTCCAGAAGTAATGATCTCTAAGACATTGCTGAGCCCATATTTAAGGAATGCTGTAAAAGTATTGTGAAATGTGTGAAATCCCCAGGCCCTTCATCATCCTTTCATCAGAAAGGAACCAAGGTCCAACAGTTTGGGCTTTCTTGGTAAATAGAGAGGAAGGGTCTTATGATGGCTTCCAAAACAGGATTGTGTCACCCTGAATTTCCATCCTGACCCTTCTTTTGTGCATGCAGGTTATGACTTTAATCCAGAAACTTCCAGTGCCAGTGATCGCCAAAGTGAACGGCCTGGCTACAGCAGCTGGCTGCCAGCTGGTGGCAAGCTGTGACATCGCAGTGGCCAGTGAGAAATCTCAGTTTGCTACTCCTGGAGTGAACATTGGGCTCTTCTGCTCCACACCAGCTGTGGCCTTGGGCAGATCTCTTCCAAGAAAGGTAAGCTTCCTTTCCAGATATTCTTCATAATTTTGCATAAAGTTGGTTCCTGTGTTAGGAGTTTTAGTTCCATTGCCCGAACTTTATTTTCCTGCAGTGCAACATTCAAAATATTTTATTTCAAAAGGCATCTCCATAACTCTTTGGAGTGGGAAAAATAATAAAGGGTGAGCTCTTGTTTAGGAAAGGCAGCTTTCTACTGATGTGACTCCAACCAGCACGAGCTCGTCCCAGCAGCCCCCAGCTCAGCAATCCCTTTCCTTTCCAACAGACAGCTCAGGGCTTCAGCCAATGATGTTCTCCCCTGAGGAGGAAACCCCTGCAAGTTCAGGATAACAATCCCACCGAGGCATCAATTCTTGCCAGGCAATGACATTTCACTGCCAGCAGGATCTGCCTGGCTGTAGATCAAGATGCTTTAAATAGCATCTAAAACCCTCCTGTAGTGTCTTCCTGTTTTATGTCCTACTGATTGTGGCTGCACATCTCTCACTGCATAAAAAACTGTACAACCTGTAAAGCCAATTGGATTCATGCAGGCAGATGGTCCAAGCCCAGCAGGGCTCTGCTGGGATGCAGTGACTGAACTGCACACATCCCATTGCTGGATAAAAGCTTCAGCTTGAAATTTCCCATCTGCAGGGACATCCTGTTCAAACAGAGTCCATGGGGGATTTTTCCAAGGCTGCTCTCGTGTGCATTTGCAGCTGTTTCTGAGTTAGTATTTCTGGGCTGTAGCATTACCTTTTTAAAATGTCTGGGAAATACTTTTCTCTGTGCCACTTTTCAAAGCAGTAAGAATATTCCCTACAGTTCCCAGAATTGGTGATTTTTAGCTTTTAACAAAAGAAGTTGCTACTGTTTGTAGCTACCAGAACAAAGATGCTAATGAGGATAATCAGCTCTTATGATTCAGGCATTGGTCAATTGCTCCAGGAGTCTTGGAAAACTTTATTGATACATAGCATTAAATAGTCACTGAGTATTTGGGGGAATTTTTAGTCTCAAGCCTCAAGCACCAGATGCTGGAAGCAGCATGAGACTGAAATAATGTATTTATAAAAAGTCCATATTTAAAACCACTCATACTAAACTTAAAACTAGGACAGGTGTTTTCAAAAACTGCACCAAAAAAAAAAAAAAAAAAAAGCCCAGCTGAAAATACCAAGTTTAGTCATTTGACTTTGTAGATGATCCACTTCTCTTTTAATTCCTACAGCAATCACTAGAGATTGTGGGCTTTTGAGGAGAAGCCCAGGGGTGTCAGCCTAGGACAGCTGGAAGCAGTGGGCAGGTTTGAAGAGACCAGCTTTAGACCCTTCTCTTGGCTGAGACCTCCTAACAGGTCCTTGGCAGTGTAAAAGACCAAAAAACTTAAATAATTTATGAAAATAATAACTTGTACTTGAAGGAGGAGGCTGAAATTCCCCAAACAAAGCAAAGCACTGAGTTGGGTTGACTTACTACAATATTTGTCCTTTCCAGGTGGCTCTGGAGATGCTTTTCACGGGTGAACCCCTCTCTGCCCACGAAGCGCTAATGCACGGGCTCGTCAGCAAGGTGGTACCAGAAGACAAACTGGAAGAAGAGACCATGAAAATCTCTCAGAAGATATGTGAGAGCAGCAAATCTGTCTTGGCCTTGGGGAAGGCCACCTTTTACAGACAGATAACCCAGGACCTTGACACTGCTTACAAAATAACTACTAAGGTCATGGTAGATAATTTGACTTTGAGAGATGGGCAGGAAGGCATTGAAGCCTTTGTTCAGAAGCGAAAGCCTGTCTGGTCACACTCTCAGGAGGAGAAGAAATGAGTCCTGTCTCTAAACAAACCTTAGCTGTGCTTTATGATTCTTCACACAGTTGCCTTTGGGAACTATATTTTTATTCTTACTGAAAGTTAAATTTCTCTTCTTACAAATGCCAGGCAATAAATTTACTCTAAGTATGTAATAAATGTTAAGAAAAATCAAAGAAGATGGGTTTTCCTTGATAGCAGTGAATTTAATCTGTGGTTTTAAAAGTAACTCTCTGCTGCAAAAAACAGTTTAATGTGTCTCTGGTTACATATGGAGTCACAGGGGCTGAGGGAGAGCTCAGATCACCTTGTACAGAACCTCCCCTCCATAGTTCTGGATGAGAATTGTTATTTCTTGTTAGTAATAGAGAATTGAAGGGCTTGGACACATTCCAGAGATGATGGTAGTAGGTATGATAATGGATTCCAGGACTGTTAGAGTGTTGCAGACAGAAGCCTGTAACACAGTTATGCATTGCTCCTCATATCTTCCTGTGAGCTGTGTCAGCAGTTTGTCCCCCACAAATCCTGATTTCCCACCGTCAGTTCAGCTCCCAGCTCTAGGGTTTTGTTGACTGCAGGGAGGATGAGCATGGGTTGGGTGAAAGGCAGTGTCTTGCCCCAGCTGTACTTTTTAGGCTGCTGTGTTTGTTGGGAAGTCCATCCTTGTGCTCAAAGCTGGGCTTTTACAGCACTGGACCAGTTCAGCCATGGATTTAAAGACTTGACGAGTTCAAAAAATTGGGGTTCAGATGCTCCCTCTGTGTAATCAGTTCCAACCCTCCAGGTGAATTTTTTTTTATTAATGTCCAGTCTAAGCCTTGAAGCAACATTTTCTGGCCACTCCCCTTTGTTCCATTATTTGGCATGATTGAGAAAGTTTAGCTCCATTATCTGTGTAACTCTCTTAAGCAGTCACAGGCTGCATGTAGACCACACTTAGATTCATTCCTCTGTGCCAGACTGACAAGCCCTGCTTCCTCCACCCTCCCTGTAGGTCATGTTCTCTGGGAAACCAGTTTGGCATCCCTCCAGTAGACCAGTTCCAGTTTCCCCAGATCCCTTTTGTACTGGTTGTGCCACAACTGGGCTGTATCCTAAATATGGCCTCAGCAGATTTGGGCAGAGGAGAGCAGAACAGCCCCCCTTGTGCTGGCCTGTGAGCAGTGCTCAGGGTGTGCTTTGTCTGCTCTGTGAGGAGGGTGCACTCCTGCCTTGGATTCAGCCAGGCATCCCTGGGAGCCCATTTCCAGCAGGATTGTGCTCTGCCACTCCACTCCTCACCTGTGCTGGTGTCCTGCACTGGTTATTCTTCCCAGGTGAAGAAACTTGCATTTCTCCTTGGGTTGTGGTTTGGATTGAAGCCAGGCCTTTTGGGGTGTCAGCCAATGCCCCAATTTTGGAGAATCTGCAGATTTGCTGAGGATGTGTTATTGATGGCTGTAGTGGATGAAAGGAGCCTTGGTATCAGTCCATGGTGATCAGCACGGGATGATCTCCCAGCAAACACATTTCTTCTCAAGTTCAACACAGCCAGATCACGAGGGCTCATCCATCTCATCCTTAAACAGACATCTAAGCAAGACCACGTGAACCACAGTATGGATGGGCCTTTTTTCTTTGTTGACAGTAGAAGCAGCCTAAAGGGCTTGGAGCAGACTTGAATCTCTTTAAGTTAGATCAAATGAATCCTACCTATGACTACTAAAACTCCAGATGTGGAAATATCAATTACACAGTTCCACAAAGTCTTTTTTCCATCTACATGTTCAAAAGAACAAAATTTTCATTTCTGCTACAAGTTTTAATTTTAAGAATGGAAACTTAAACTTTAATTGACCATTTCACATTGAATGGGAAAAATGTGCATCATTTGCACTAGCTGTTTTAAAAATAAAAACTTTTATTGTTACCACCAGGAAAGATGGGTAAGTTTTTTACAAACTCACCCAGTTTATATAGGTTAGAAACTGTTATGAGCAATTATGAGATGGAAGAGTTAAATCTGGAGCCCAGTAACCTTCACCATGTCCTTTCCAATGCAGTAAGATGCTGCACTTAGCCTCTGTTCCCACACGCTGCTCTAAAAGCATTAGGAAAGAGTAAATTGTTTTTAAAAATATTTATATTTAATGGCTATCTTGCAACTACTCAGCAAATCTCAACTGGCTCTTTTGTTCCAGGCTTTTAGAAATAAGTACATTATCTGATTTTTGCAGAACAGTGCCCTTTCAGCTAACTGCAGTAATAAAATGGTTTCACTGGCCATCTTAAAGCATGAGTGACAGTTTAGATGAGCACATTGTTTAAGAAATTCAGAAATTCTTCTACAGTTGATTGCCATCTACAGGGTTTGGCATTATTATTAACTCCATTCAGATCTTGAAGAGAAAATATATTTTGTTTTAACTCATTTTTCACAATATTTGTACTTTTTCATGTAGTAGTTATGTAATAATAGAATTAGAGGATCACCATAGAATGGTTTGGGTTGGAAGGAACCTTAAAGACCTTCTAATTCCAACCCCATGGCAGAGACACCTTCCACTAGAGCAGGTTGCTCCTGAACACTTCCAGGGATGGGCCATCCACAGCTTCTCTGGAAAACCTGTTCCAGTTCCTCACCCCCCTCATATTAAAGAATTTCTTCCTAATACCCAATCTAAACCTATCCTCTTTCAGTTTCAAACCACTCTGCCTTGTCCTGTCACTAGTGCTTTTGTAATTAGCAATCATCAGTTCTAAAAATGTTGGTTTCCACAGAACATTTCCCTCTTGCTTGAACACGAGACAGAAAAGCTTCAGAAGGTTTTATAACATTCCTATACTGGCCCCTGAAGACTGACAAAACAACTTAATTTTTCATTTCTGACTTGCATGGGCTTTTTATTTTTGCCCACATCTGCCCTTATTGTTTAATTTAATGGATTTACAGGCTATTCCTGGGAAACAGAGCAGTTCCAGAATTGTTAATTAAGTACCACAGCCAAGAAACAGCAAATCAAATGATAGATTGGGAGCCTTATCACCGTGTTTATCTGCTGCCTGAGGGAAGAGTTTGTCCCAAAATAGCAGAGATGCTATCCCTTGTCACCCCCTCCATTTTTATTAAAGAATCTCTCTGCAGAGAAGTCTGCCAGGTAATTAGCCTAGTTTCAAGTCACCCTAACAGCATGTGGCTCTGGAAACTAAGTGGAACTCCATCTGCACACAGCCTCTAGGATGCAGCTAATCCTTGGAAATGACCAACAGGGACACATTTTCTATCCATATATACAGGAACAGCTGGAATGGAAACCAGTCATGATACACAAGCCAAGAATTGCCAGCATGAATGGAATGAACTGCCTCAGAGTCCATGGAGGCCTTAGAATGGCTTTGAGCCCTTACCTGGAAATTTGAGAAAAGATACAAAGGCAAAATGTAGAGGATATGATTGTTTTACTTGGGATGCAGCTTCAGGCTCCCCTCATGAACAAGGCAAATGAAAATCCAGGGAGCAGTGACAAATAACACAAGGCACAAGATTATTCCTAATTCATGGACCAGGCAATGACCTGCCCCACCACATCACCTGGGGAATATGCACTGAAAGTAGAGTTAAACAGAAGACATGGGTAATGGGCAAGGTATTTATACCCTCTGCTCCACAGAGCCCAAGGACAGCTTTTATAAGCTTTTATATAAACTTCATGGAGTTTCCTTAAGGCCACTCAACCAGAATTCAGCAGCCTGGGTAAGAATTAGTTTGGGGTTGGTTTGAAGTAATCTCCTGTAGCTATGGAGGAGAGAGCTTGAAAATATGTCCTACAAAGGTCCAAAAAGCTGGATGTAGTTCACATTAAAAATACATGGCTACCTCAGTGGCAGGAGCCAGCAGCAGAGTTTTTACCACCTAGCTCATGATTTGTGAGCATTTGGAAGGCAGCAGTGTGTCCTTCACAGAACTGCCTCTGGGTGATTCCTGTGCTGTCACTCCTGTACTGCAGGTGGGGAATTGAGGCCAAGTGTGCTGGGCCTGAGGTCTCCTGGTGAGCCCGTGGTACTGGGAATGCTGACACCTGCTCCTTGCATTTCTTCAGCAACAAAGTTTCTGGGGAAATCAGCAGAAATGCAGGATGACTGTGTGCCCTGAAGTGACTGCAGAGGCTTCTGAACAGGAATTATGAGCTACTGCATCAAAGGCCTCTTGCTTGACGTTTATTGGCTTTTTGATGAATGTTGGGGTAATTCTACTGTCAACAGTTTCTCATTAGAAGCCTGGCAATGTACTTTCTGACCATTATCTCTCTCAATATCACACTGTGTTGCTACAAAGAGCAGGGGTTTTATGTAAAACCCATCTATCTCTGTAGCTGCAAACTTTTCTAATAATTCTACATTTAAATAATCTCATGGAAATGCTGGCTGCTGTATCTGAGCAATAAGGAGACTAGACAAATGGTTAAATTTCCATGAAGACCTAAAGCTATAGGACAAATCTCATACTGCAATGAGTAGGATTCATTTGTCTTGATTCCACTGGCACTGCACCTCAATTATACTAATTCTGAATTTCACTGCTGAATAATGCATTCCCACCCTGCTTTACACTTGCAGAGGAAGGAAAAAACCATCAGAGCTGTACATTTCTCACTCTCCACAGTGTGATGTACCACCTCCTGGCTGCTTATGGTCAGTATTAGGAATTATTTTTGTCAAAACCCTAGATTTTCTAAAAATAAAATAGAAGACATATATCCCTAATACCACTATGTATTTGGAAAGGGGGAAAGAGTTAATTAAATTTTGTTGTGTCCAACTTTAATAATTTTCATGCTATGAGTTTGAAAGCATTAACACTTCTTTTAAATATTTGTATCCTGGAGTCATGATAGTGGGAACATATAGGGCTATTGTATATTTTATTGATTATGGTTGTTGTAGACAAAGAAATTAAAGCAGAACCAGATTACAAAATACTTAATGGAATTTCTACTACTAAAATGTGTTTGAGTAATGATTAATTTTTCATAAACTACTTAATATGAGAGTTTTCAATTTTCCCTCCTAGAGGCAGGATGGTGTTTTCAGCCTGCCAAAACCAACACTTGTAATGCTGTGGACTCCAACTAAAAATAAACTTTCCCACCAACTCTTTAGCCTCACTTTGATGGCAGTGCAGATGAC